ATCCACATTGGATTTTGCACATGGGAGACCGTGTGAAGACACTGGAAGAAGACCACCATCTCCAACCATCTCCAAGTCTCAGAGAAATGCCTTAGAAGAAACCAGCCCTGCTGACTCCTTGATCTTGAGCTCATAGCCAAGAGATCTTCTGAAGGCAAACAGAGAGGACATCCACTGCCAAATCCCCCATGACTAAGAGTATAAAAGGAACAGAATCACTGCAATGAGAGCCCTCATCAAAGAAAAGGGGAATGAGAACCACCCAGGCTTCCTGGCCAGCTCCTACTGGGTGGGCACAGCAAGGACTCCCTTGTTACACTAATTGACTTGAGAATGTCAAGCCAATCTTGCCCTACTGGGATACGTTCTGCTTGGCCATGGTTTATTATTGTTTTTATATGTTAATGATTCTGTTTGCTAGGAGTTTGTTGAAGATTTTTTTGTGTCTATATTTATGAGGAATATTGGCCTTTTAGTTTTCTTGTGATGTGTTTGCCTGGTTTGGTATCAGGGTAATATGGCCTCACAGAACGAGTTGAAGGTATTCTCTTCTTTTTTTTTTTTTTTTTTAAATATTTTTATTTATTTCTAGGAGAGAGACAGAGAGAGACAGTGTGAGCAGGGGAGGGTCAGAGAGAGAGGGAGTCACAGACTGAAACAGGCTCCAGGCTCTGAGCTGGCAGTCAGCACAGAGCCCGACGCGGGGCTCGAACCCACGAACCGCGAGATCATGACCTAAGCGAAAGTCGGACGCTTAACCGACTAAGCCACCCAGGCGCCCCGAAGGTATTCTCTTCTTATTATTATTTTATTTATTTGTCGGGGGGTAGGTATACTCTTTTCCCATTTGCATTTTTTGATAGAGTTTGTAAAGGAGTGTTAGGAATGCTTTAAATATTTGACAGAATCAGTAGTGATGTCATCTGGGCCTGGGCTTTTCTTCACAGGAATTTTTCTTTATTATTAATTTAATCTCTTTACTTCTTGTAGATCTATTTGGATTGTTTCTTTTGAGTCAGTGTGTTTGTGACTTTCTAAGAATCTGTCCACTTGATCCAAGTTATCTAATTTGTTGGCACAGGAGGAAGGGTCAGCTCTAGGTCCATTTTTTCCTCATCTTACCCACCCCTCCAGAAATGGTCCTTTCTCTGAGGTCAGGGTACAAAGTGGAATGCTGAGAACAGAGAAGAAAGCATTTTACTGAGGGCACCAATGCTCTAGAATGCTCTAGATCAATGCTCTTTTCAAAGGAGGGAGAACTAAGGGGATGGGAAGCCCCAAAGAAGGAGTGGGTGGTGTGGACGACTCCTGAGAGGCCTCGTTAGCAGACTCCGTGAAGACAAAATGTGAGGGTGAGGAAGAAATGATCAAAGGTTTCCTGGGTAGCAAAATCCATGTTTGAGAGACCTTTGAGGAATTTCACAATGCAGTCTTACTTACTTGTTCAAGATTTCAAAACTGTGCCCTTGGGAGTGGCCCTGCTCAGCAGCTAGAGCTGGGGTGATGCCAATCCAGAATGAACAGGCACTTCTGGCCATGCCGCCCCCAGTATCTCCTTTTCTCACCTGCTTCTCCCTTTCTCTCTTGGCCTTCTCCACCCCCCAGCTGCACCCCTACACCTGCTCCCAACCTCCCCTCCTCATCCCCATGCTTCCACGGCTCAGTTCACGGCAAGGCTCCCTGATACTAGCTCCCATTATCAAAGCTTTTTCCAGGGCTGTTATCAGCAGCTGCTGAGAGTTTATGGGGTACAGAGTCCACTCAAGGAGGGTCCGTCTTAGGATATGGGGATGATGACCTTGACATCCCCAAATCAGAGGCCTTAGGGCCCTTCCCATGCTGGCTATGGCAGAGCACGCCAAGGCAGAAGCACACCCCTCCTCCTCCCCTGTGCTATTTCTGACATGCCCCCCTCAGTTCCTCTGACAAAAGGAAAAGAGCATGCATTTTAAGGAAGAGTTCATGGTCAGAACTGAAGTGGGTTTAGAAATTGGAATGTTCTTGGTAAGCTACACAGTGAGGGGCCATCCGCATAACATGACAGGTGGTAACAACCAATGCATAGAATGGGCTATGCACCTGCATTACAGCTTTTCTCCTTTCCACCCCCAATGTTGAAGTGCCGTTACCATGCCATTTTGCAGATGAGGAAACAGAGGCACAGAGAGGTTACGTAACTTGTCCAAGGTCACCCAGCTATTGGATGGTGGAGGCAGGATTAGATCCCCAACAATCTGGCTAGAAGATTGTGCTCTTGATGGTGACATTTTCTGTCTGAGGTAACTGAAAGAGAGACAGTGCATTTGCAGAGAACTTGCTTTTGAGAAATATGTTGTGGAGAGGAGAAGTGAACGTGCATTTAAAGGAAACACAGCACGGGCCAATGTGGGACATCTGTCTCTGCCTGGAGGACTGTGTATGCAGTGTCTCATGGTTGGAGTGGGGCTCAGTGAGTCATACATGAGGGGTACACTGGGGTCTTTGCCAGCGAGGCTATAGCCCAGGGCCCTGCAATGCCCTCTGAGCTGTGCAGGGCCCATATTCTGTCCACGGGTAAGCCTGCACATGCCTATATCTGTTGTTGCTTTGCTGTGCAGAATCCTAGCACATTGGAAAAGTTAAATCAGGATCCAGCAGGTCAAGGGAGCTGAGACCCCATACAGAGCTTGTGACAGTCACACACACACCCCAACCTCTCCCAGAGCTGAGGCCCAGCTCTGCTAAAGGCTTGTTCCCAGGACCTGGACCCTCAGGAGACCCAGTCCGCTCCTCTGCTCTGCTGGGTGTTACCAACACCACGGCCTGCAGTGAGGGTCCTGGCCCTGCTTTGGGCTGGACCCAGCTAAGGCTGCTTCAACACACAAGGCCTGGATGCTGCCCCCACCTCTCCCGGCTCTGTGGGAACACTGAGAACATCCTTTAAAAGCACAAAGTGACACTCCCTCCACCCTTATGTGCTGGCAGCAGCCCCTCCAGCCTCTCTGCCCCCAACTCTGCCCCGTGTCCAGGAAGCTGCCTGGTGTGAAGGGCAGTTGGGTCAGATGGGTGGGACCCCGGCAGGGACTTGGGGAGTAGAAGAGCGGGAGGGAGTTACCTGGGGTAGATGTGAGTGTGGCTGAACAGAACCATACCTGGAAAGCCTGGGCCCTCCTCAGGGAGACATGGGATCTGTTTGTCTTAAAAAGAAAAAGAAAAAAAAAAAGTCAGGGATAAATGGGCACCTCTGTGAGTCCCCTTCTCCTGGCAGAGGGGGCAGAGGGGGCAGGGGCAGAGAGGCTCCCAGGACTCTGGGCTCTCTCCCCAGGGGGCAGCTCTTGAGGTTCCTGTGGAAGCAAGACTGAACAAAAGTGGACACAAGGACGGCTTATAGCAAATAAACATTTAAAAACTGGGTTTTTTGAAAAATTTTTTTAAATGTTTTTATTTCTGAGAGAGAGAGAGAGAGAGACAGCGCAAGCAGAGGAGGGTCAGAGAGGGAGGGAGACATAGAATTGGAAGCAGGCTCCAGGCCCTGAGCTGTCAGCACAGAGCCCGACGCGGGGCTCGAACCCACAAACCATGAGATCATGACCTGAGCCGAAGTCGGACGCTCAACCGACTGAGCCACCCAGGCGCCCCTAAAAACTGTTCTTAAAGTTTTTAGTTTGGTTAAGTGCCCGACTTCAACTCAGGCCATGATCTTGCGGTTCTTGAGTTTGAGCCCCTACATCAGGCTCTGTGCTGACAGCTCAGAACCTGGAGCCGGTTTCGGATTCTGCCTCTATCTCTCTCTGCCCCTCCCCCACTTGCCGTCAAAAATAAACATTAAAATATTTTTTATTTGGAAAATGGATGGCTTATGGCTAGAAAGGCAGTGACAATTCCAGAACACCTGTTCTTGCCAACAGTTCCACAAAAATGTTCAGAGAGATACTGTGTTCATTTTCTACGGCTGCTGTAGATACTACAAACTTGATGGCTTAAAACAACACACATTTATTCTCTCACAGCTCTAAATCAGTGTCGCTGGGCTGAGTCCCACATGCTGGCTCAGCCATACTCGCTGCGGAGGCTCTAGAGGCTGTTTCCTCGCCTTCCATTTCCAGCTCCCAGTACTCTGTTCCTGGTGCTTCTTGGCTCATGGCGCCTTCCTCCAACTTCCAAGCCAGCAGCCTAGCATCTTGCTTCAGAGTCACTTTGCCTTCTTCTTGGCCAGATCTCCCTCCACCTCTATCGCATGACACTTGAGGTGACATTTACAGCCCACCTGGATAATCCAATACAATCTTCCCATCTCTAGACCCTGAATTTAATCACATCTGCAAAGCTGCTCTTGGCATATGAGCGGACCTTCACATGTTCCAGGGATTATGACCTGATATCTCTGGGCTCTATTATTTAGCCGACCACAGATACATTCACACACAGTATAAACACGGTCACATAGACCCAGACACACATACTCCTCACCCCCAAACCTCTTCCCAGAAACCTGCTCAAGCCACAGAACTCTTCCCTGTCCCCCATGACAGCCTTCCTTTCCCTGACAGTATTGTGCAAATCCCTCCCTTGTTCCCAGCGCCCCTTCCATCTAAGAAGCCCCTCCTCACTCCTGCCTTCAGAATCTAACCTATATTGAGGGCTTAAAGCTGAGGGCCTGAGCCAGTCATTTCTTCCACACAGTCCAACCTTCCACAGTTACCTGCTGACACCTATGCTTCACTACCACACCCTGTGGGTTCGCAGAGGACATTAACTGAAAAAACGGTTAGAAGAAAATCAAAGGTCACCAGGCAAAACTCTTAAAGGGTGATTGTGCGCATGTGCCACAGTGCCTGAGTCTGGGAGCTTGGTGACTGTTGGACAGGCCTCTCAGCACTGGCTGACCTAGACCACTTGCGCCTGGGGCATGGATGGGGCTGGACAGCTCCCCTAGAACGTGGCTCTGACCAGCCTAGGGAGAGGTAACCTTTCTGATCCCCACATCTGTCCCCAAGTGCTAGTCCTAGGGGCTGGACTCCATGGACCAGCCAGAGGATTTCTGCTCCAGGTGAGTGTTGGCTTTCAGGGCAGTCACTTGAGAATTGGCTGGTCCCAGCCGGTGGGGGCCTCACCTCGTTCTGCTGGCTCCCTGGGGCTTCACACCCCTTATCCACAACTTTCCCCCAATATCCCCCAGGCTCAGGATTCTAGGGACTCAATTTGCACAGAAGGCATCCTTGGAGTCTGTTGCCCACCAGAGACTCAGACTCAGCCTCTGGTGCAAGGCCCTCAGCCTGGGCCACCAAAGGATGCAGTGAGATGGGTATGATGGGGAACTCAGGAACAGTGTGGGCCAGGTGGTAATTGTGGCTCTTTGCCGAGGCAGCTTTGTTCAAGGCTCCGAAGGAAGGGAAGGGAAAGAAGGGGGGAAAGGGCACCTCATCTAGGCTTTTGACCTGACCTAGCCAGGTTTGTGGAAGAACACAGGAAGGGAGGGGCAAAGCAGGAAGGCGCCCCCCTAGCATTTGGGTCAGCAGTGGCCAGCGCCTGCCCCGAGTGACCTCGATTCAAGGCAGTGAGGTCAGAGGCAAAGCCTTGGAGCAGAGCACCACCCTCCACCCCCACTCCTACCCCTGACTGAGGTCCTGGGAGGGAAGAACTACCAAACGTCGGCCTGGAGTCGCCTGGGGAGACGGAGCTGCATCTGAGCCCCTGCCCACTGTGGGTGCCCCAACACTGGTGTTGAGGCTGTGGGGGGCGGCAGGGCAAGGCTGGGGTCACTGTCGTCACACACGTGTTGACCCCGCCCGACCGTCCGCAGCGCGGAGTCCCGTGCCGCCAAAGCCCGACAGCTGCTCCAGGACACGCTAGAGAGGCTGAGCCAGGAGCAGCTGAAGCGTTTCCGCCACAAGTTGCGCGACATGCCAGTGGACGGCCGAAGCATCCCATGGGGGCGGTTGGAGGGCAAGGACGAACTGCACCTCGTGGAGGAGATGGTCCAGTTCTATGGGCCGGAGATTGCCCTGGACGTGACCCGAAGGACTCTGAAGAGGGCGGACATCCGAGACGTGGCAGAGCAACTCAAGGATAAGCTGAAGGGTGAGCGCAGGAAGGAGGGTTGCCGGGGTCCCCGCTCTTCCATCGGCTCCGCCGGAGCGGAGCCTGGGCCTCGGGCCGCCATCCCTCCAGCTTCCGCAGGAAAGTCCCAGAGTGCTCCCGGCCCGAGAGCACTCCATGCACAAATTCAGGAACCCCAGGGCTTGGACCCTGGGCGCTCTCGAGGGGTAGCCCCAACTCCCTACTGTGCCCCCCACGCCCCCCGCACATTCAGCAGGGCCTCACCATGGGTCTCCTTTCCAGGGCTTGGCCCCAGCTCCTTCATGCTGCTCTCCGTGTCCGGTAAGTCTCTCTGGGAGGGAAGCAGAAGACCCAAGGTGTTGGCGGGTGGGGGCAACAGGGGAGAGGGTGTGGTGACCCCCAGGTTTGCAGCACGAGTGTCCTGTATGCCACTCAGAGGTTCCCGACAGCCGGTCCCGGGGAGGAGAGTTGTGTGGGAAGGCTGGCTGGGGAGAGGGGCTGTGGGAAACCAAGACCTGAACCTAGTGGGTTGGGGAACGCCTGGGAGGGTCGGCTGACACAGCCCATTCCATCCTTGTCCTCTACCCCTCCCCCGGTCCCCTCTTGCGGCCCCCGCCAGAGTACAAGAAGAAATACAGAGAGCACGTCCTGCAGCAGCATGCCAAGGTTAAGGAAAGGAATGCCCGCTCTGTGAAGATCAACAAGCGCTTCACCAAACTGCTCATCGCGCGCGAGGAAGCCACACCAGTGGATGGGACTCGGGGACCCACTGAGGAGCCAGGGACCCAGCGTGCTCGGCGCTCCGACACTCACACCTTCAACCGCCTGTTCGGCCGTGACGAAGAAGGCCAGCGGCCTCTGACGGTCTTGCTGCAGGGCCCAGCGGGCATCGGCAAAACCATGGCGGCCAAGAAAATCCTGTATGACTGGGCAGGAGGCAAGCTGTACCACGACCAGGTGGACTTTGCCTTCTTCTTGCCCTGCCGCGAGCTGCTGGAGCGACCGGGCAAGTGCAGCCTGGCCAGCCTGATCCTAGACCAGTGCCCCCACCGCAGCGCGCCCATTGGGCTCATACTCTCTCGTTCCGAGAGGCTGCTCTTCATCCTGGATGGCGCGGATGAGCTGCCCCCGCCGGGGCCCACCGAGGGGGTGCCCTGTATAGACCCCTTTGAGGAGGCAGAGGGCGCACGGGTGCTGAGCGGGCTGATGGGCAAGACGCTGCTGCCTGGTGCCCGCCTGCTGGTGACTGCCCGTGCCACCGCCCCTGGGAGGCTACAGAGCCGCCTGTGCTCCCCGCAGTGCGCAGAAGTGTGCGGCTTCTCCGACAAAGACAAGAAGAAGTTCTTCCACAAGTTTTTCCGGGACGAAAGGGTGGCGGAGCGTGCCTACCGCTCTGTGAAAGAGAATGAGACACTCTTTGCACTGTGCTTTGTGCCCTTCGTGTGCTGGATCGTGTGCACAGTTCTGCGCCAGCAGCTCCAGCTCGGCCAGGACCTGTCTCGCACCTCCAAGACCACTACGTCCGTGTACCTGCTTTTCATCACCAGCCTCCTGAGCTCAGCGCCTGCTGCTGATGGGCCCCAGGTGCAGGGCGAGCTGCGTAAGATGTGCCGCCTGGCCCGTGAGGGCCTCCTTGGGCATAGGGCACAGTTCACTGAGAAGGATCTGGAGAGACTGGAACTTCGCGGCTCTAAAGTTCAGACGCTGTTTCTCAGCAAGAAAGAACTGCCAGGTGTGCTGGAGACTGAGGTCACCTACCAGTTCATGGACCAGAGTTTTCAGGAATTCTTTGCCGCGCTGTCCTACCTGCTGGAGGACAAGGGAAACCTCAGGGCAGCGGCTGACAGCGTAGGGGCGCTTCTCCGGGGGGACACCGAGCTGCGCGGCCACCTCACACTCACCACGCGCTTCCTCTTCGGGCTCCTGAACACAGAACGGGTGCACGACATCAAGCACCACTTCGGCTGCGTGGTTTCAGAGCGTGTAAAGCAGGATGTCCTGCGGTGGATGCAGGACCAGGGCCACCAGGGGGCGGCACCAGAGGGGACCAAACAGACCGAAGCGCCTGAGGACGCTGAGGAGCTGGAGGAGGAGGAGGGCGAGCTCAACTACCCGCTGGAGCTGCTGTACTGCCTGTACGAGACTCAGGAGGATGCCTTTGTGCGCCAGGCCCTGCGTGGCCTCCCTGAGCTGGTGCTGGAGCGCGTGCGCTTCAGCCGCATGGATGTGGAGGTTCTGAGCTACTGCATAAGGTGCTGCCCGGAGGGGCAGGCACTGCAGCTGGTTAGCTGCGGCCTGGTCCCTGCACAGGAGAAGAAAAAGAAGAAGAGCCTGATGAAACGGCTGCATGGCAGCCTGGGTGGCAGCTCGTGAGTCTACGGGGCAGGACTGCCTTGGTTTCCAGGCCCTGGGGAGGGGGCAGCGATGTGTCCAGTGCATGCCAGTGCACCTGAGTGTCCGTCTGAGCAGGGGAAGCCTGTCCCCAGAGGAGGGCAGGACTTCGGGGCTGGTTTTGCCCGCTCCCTTGCAAGGCAGCCTCCTGATGTCCACCTCCTTCCCCAGGGTGTCCTTGGCATGCCAACCCCCAGCTATCCACACCCAGGGCAGACCTCCTAACATGGCCACGTGGCTCTGGAATACTCCATGCCTGCTGTGCCCTGAGCTTTTGCACCTGCTATTTCGTCTACCCAGAATACTCTGTTTGTTGCCTATCCTCAATGCTTTACCAGTCTCCCTCAGCTGGCCTGGGACCCCTCTGGCCCAGAAATGCCCCACTGACCGCTGTATGCCATGACATCCACTCTGCCTATCTCCTTCACCAGACCTTGAGCTCCTTCAGGGCAAGTCTTCTGTGTACATAACTCCAACCTAGCACTTGACCCAGAGCTCAGCATCTGTTGAGATAATGAATGTCAGGATGTTGATAGGCTGGGGCTGGGGACGCCCGCTGCAGGCGCAGGACAGACCCACGTGGGCTGTGGGTGACATGCCCCCCACCTGGACTCCGGCAGACCGCTTCAGCGGGGAGCTGCACGGGGCCACAGATCAGCTGTTGCACTCTGGGTTTGGAGCAAGGAGGGTGGAGGGGTCCCGACTCAGCTTGAGGTGGAGGGCAGAGGTAGCTCTGACACTTCAGGGCCACAGAAAAGAGGGAGGGACTGGAAGGGGACAAGTGGGCTTCACCTTGCCGTCTCTCCTAGCAGTTCACAAGCCGCCATGAAAAGATCCCAGGCTTCTCCATTGCGTTCACTCTTTGAGGCCATGACTGACCAACACTGCGGTCTGAACAGCCTGACGTGAGTGACCATGCCCCCGTGGCCCCCCGGAAGGGATGCAGAGCAGGACCCTCTGGGCAGGGACAAAGGGATAACCCTGTCTGGAAATGGCTGAGGGGACAGACTAAGAGCCTGTGCCTCTGGCATCTTGTGCCGGGGTCTACAGGCTCTGTCCACATAGTGCAGAGGAGGGAGGAGAGGGTGGGGCCCGGGGCTAGGAAGGAGGGTTTGGCCCCAGTTTAAGTGGAAACAGGGTGCAGCTGAGCATTCTGGGGGAGGGATAAAGAAGACCAGAATAAATTTTCCTTCCAAAGGAAGGCTACTAGTTGCTATTGGAAAGTGATGGGCAGTCCCTCTGGACTTTTACAAGCAATGGAGGGAGGTCTTCAGGGCACAGGCTCTGAATCCAGGCTGCCTGCCTCCAAGCCCTTGGGCAAGTCAGTCTGTCTGATCTTTTTCTTCCCCTATGAAATGGAGCTGGTAGATTCTACTTCAGAGGGTTGGTATGAGAGTTAATGTGGCAACGCATGCCCAGCCCTGAGTACATGACCTATCACCAAGCAAGCAGAAAGTAAGAGAAACGGTAGAAGCTAGTACCGGGGGGAAGGGGGGGGCAGATGGTGAGATAGGCACAGCCCTATGGCCATGGTGACATGGTCACTTTGCTTGATATGAGGTTCCAGCAACCTGGAAATAAACATCAGGAGCCAAGAAGGTGATCGACACATTTGGCCCATCAACAAACACTGCCACTAAACTGAATGCGTGGTGTTCACACCACAGCAGTATTTATAATGGCAAAAAAAGGTAGAAACAACACCCGTTGTTAGGGACCAGCTAAATGAATAAGCATGGCCCATCTTGACTCCATGCTCAGCTATCTGCAGTTAAACACATTGACAGTAAAATCTGCATTGGTCCATCCAACAGCTGGCAGAGAATAGTGCCCTAAGGAAAGGTGGAGTGCAATCCAGCACGCACATGCACATATGGCCAAGGCTCCCCAGGGACCCATGTGGTGGGTAACAAAGGACAGGGGAAACTGTTCCTGTTGAACCAGCACCTCTCCAGACCGAGCCTCAGCCACCCACGGAGTGGGCAGTTTGCAGAACTGGGGCAGTGAAGTGGCCAAGGGGACTGAAGACAGACACATGTGCTCTTGGCCACAGGCTGTGCCGCTGCAAACTGTCTGATTCTGTCTGCCGAGACCTCTCCGAGGCCCTGAAGGAGGCCCCCGCCCTGACCGAGCTGGGTCTCCTCCACAACTGGCTCAGTGAGGCCGGCCTGCGTTTGCTGTGTGAGGGCCTGGCCTGGCCCCAGTGCCGGGTGAAGAAGCTCAGGTGAGGGCCTGGCCTGGGAGAGAACAGGGGGAGGGACAAGGTGAGGTAGGGGTGTGGTTCACAGCAGTTCCTGAGGGTCACTGTCCCGCCAGGGTGCAGCAGCCCAGCCTCCAGGAGGTGCTTCAACACCTCATTGGCATGCTCAGTCAGAGCTCAGCGTTGACCACCCTGGATCTAAGTGACTGCCAACTGCCGGAGCTCGCAGTGACCCAGCTGTGTACAGTCCTACAGGACCAGGGATGCCGCCTACAGACCGTCAGGTAGATGCAGGGACAGAAAGGGGCCTGGGGACTCAACCTCTCGACACTGGATTGGGCTGGGTGCCTGGGGACTTCCCCTGGACCCTAAAGAGGAAATCCTTCCAGGGCCCTCCCGAGTGACCACACTCAAACCCAGCCCCTGGAGACCCATGCTCCAAAGTCCGAGCCCCAGCCCTTGGCTTCAATTACTTTGCCAGATCAAATGTCCATCTGTTATCTGGGGCCCATGGCAAGTCTGGGCCAATGATTCCAACACCCTTTTACTCCCCCAAGGGCTCTGACCCCACCCCCAACCCCTGTCCCCAGCCTCTGACACCCCTACTGACCACCTCTGTCACGGCGTGCTTTGGGCACAGCCCAGGCCAACATCCCCGTCACTGCCCCACACTGCTGTCCGGTCACTGTCCCCCAGCCCTGGCCTCAGCTTTCCCAACCAACTCCCACTTCTGTCCTACGCATACGCTACAGTCTGACCTCCGTGGAGCTGAGCAAGCAGTCACTGCAGGAGCTGCGGAAGGTGAAGACAGCAAATCCAGGTCTGGTCATCACACACCCACTGCTGGACAGTCATCCCTAAGCCTCCCACAGGATTCAACTGTGTCCTCTGAGGCCCTGAACGCCAGGAAGAGGACTCTAGTCAGCCCTATGGAATAGACATCCTCATCCCAAGGGCAGAAGGATGTTGCTCTCTGCTCTGGGCAGCTCTTTTGAGCCTGAGGGACCCTGGGCAGGCAGGTAAAAGGCAAGGACACACGTGGTCCCTTACATGGTCAGGGACAGGTCCCAGGACATGCCCTTCCCCCCATACTCTGGGCACAGGTTCTGTCTCTGCTCTCCTAACCCAAACCCCACCACTGCTCCACCCACCTTCCTCTCCTGCACGCCCCCCCAGCCAGCAGATACCCCTAGCGACAATAATGCTGACAGCTCCCAGTCATCAAGCCCCTGCCATGTATTGGCCTTGACCTGGTATGTTCAGTGCAGTGACCCCTTCCCTGATCCCATTCCCATCTGCACTGTGGGCCCCACAACCCCACAGCCCCACAACTCTGCCCTCGGCCACAGGAGATCAAGCAGGGGCTGACCCCTGACCAAAGGTAGACAGGTCATTGTTCTTCCCCAGGAACTTGGGTCCTGGCATTGGAAGTGAAGCCATCCCTGAGGCTGTGTGGTGCCAGCCCAGAGGTGTCCATTTACTGTCTAGGTCTTCAGAGACGGAGACCAGGGGAGAGGGGACACAGCTGCAGCCTGCACTCCAGGTGGGAGACGCGATGGCAGGGGCAGCAAGCAGCCTGTCCTCCAGCCCGTGTGCTGATAATACATTCTCCTTTGGATTCATTGCTGTTGATTTGTGTTGCACGCAGCCAAGCATCCTAACAGGTGCTCACAATCTCTCCTTTGGTCCCCAATCCACCTGTATGGGGTGGGGTTGTATTCTACATTTCTCAGATGAGGAAACGGAGACTCAGGGCTACAGCTTGACAACAGGGAGCTCTGAGGTGAGGCCTGGCTTTGATGGACAAGACTAGCTGGAGGCAGCCCGCCGAATCTTCAGGTCCTCTCTGCTCGACGCTGCAGGGCTTAGGCAGCTCCTGGGATCCCAGTCCAGGTGGGAGAGAAGCATGGAAGTCAGCCCTTTCACTTCTAGGGAGAAATTCCCTTCCATAATTATTGTTCAAGTCTAGTCATTCAGTCCACAAAACAGACAAACCCCTGCCTCCCTGAAACTGGCAGGAAAGGAGAAAATAAACAGGTATAGACAGCAGCCAACAAATGCTTTGGAGGAAAGCAAAGCAAGGCTAAGTGGGAGGAGACCATGGAGCCAAGGTTTCCTGTTACTGGGGATGGGTCTGGGGAAGTCTAAGTGAGGACAGAAAGGAAGTGAGGCATCAAGCCCTGAGGATACCTTGAAGGAAAGTGTTCCACGCAAAGGAATGGCAGGTACAAAAGCCATGAAGAGGAGCGTCTTGGTCAGCTCAGGCTGTTAGAACAAAATACCACAAACCGGGGGACTTATCAAACACAAATTTATTTCTCCGGAGGCTGGGATGTCCAAGGTCAAGATGCCAGTCAATCCAGTGTCTGACAAGGACCCTCTTCCTGTTTGCAGGGCACTGATCTCTTGCTGTATCCTCACAAGGTGGAAAGAACAGGCTAGCTCTCGGGCCTTTTCCTGCAAGGGCTCTAACCCCACTCCTGAGAGCTCTTTTTTTTTTTAGTTTTTTAATATAGTTTATTTTTGAGACAGAGCGAGACAGAGCACAAGTGGGAGGGGGAGGAGCAGGGAGAGAAGGAGATACACAGAATCTGAAACAGGCTCCAGGCTCTGAGCTGTCAGCACAGAACCTGATGCGGGGCTTGAACCCACCAACAGCGAGAGCATGACCGGAGCTGAAGTCGGACGCTTAACTGACTGAACCACCCAGGCGTCCCAAGAGCTCTTGATCTAATTACCTCCCCAAAGCCCCACTTCCAAAATGGTCGCACTGGGGATGATTTGAAGGGATGATCTGGGGACAAACAGACACATTCGGTCCATAACAGGGCACATGCTTGGACTACTGCAGAGGCAGCAAGGAAGCCAAAGCAGCAGCACTGGCCTAGGAGAGCTGCCAGGTGGGAGGGGGAGGGGGGGAATCAGGGATGCTAGCTGGCCTGCCCTCGGGGTGGGGGTGAGCAGCACTGCAGGCTTCGGAGCAGAAGGCACATCTGACCCACCCGCTCTCAGGGTGTCTGTGGCTCTGTGCTAACAAGGCCATATAGGGCAGAGCGGAAGCAGGGCTTGTGGACTGTGTGTCCAAGAGGCGGGCTTGGTCTCAGAGGTCGCAGGGCTGCAGTAGGGACGATGGAGCTGACAAATCCCAGAAATGGGGAACAACAGAATTTGTAGATGGAAGTGGGTGTGGGGACCCAGGGAGCCTGAGCGGCTGGACAGGTGGAGTCACCGTCACCAACACTGGGAGAGGGCGCGAGAAGAGCAGGTTTCCAGGGACTTGTTGGGTCTGAATGTCTCCGGCTGGGCCCAGTGGTCAGAGCACAGAGACCTGGGTCAGGCCAGGGGCCAGAGGGCCCAGGAGGGGGATGGAGCCTGAGGGTACAGGCTGGGCTGGGCTGGGCAGAGGCAGAGCGGGGGCAAAGGGAAGGCCTTGGCGGGAGAGGGACCGCCAGGCGCCACCTCCCGGTAAGGGGGAGGCTCGGGAGCTCACGGAGAGACAGGGAATCGCGCACCAAAGGGCCCTGCCCCCTCACAACCATCCTTCGACCCCATCTTAGAGGCCAGAGTTCAAACTGTGCGGCTCCCGCAGCTTCCCTAAGAGGCCACCTGGGTGCCAGGGGCACCGGGTCGGGCAGCACTCGGGCCAGCGCGGCCGCCTCCCAGCTGCTCCGCCCTGTGGGGCCCGGGGGCGGGGACCGCGGGGCCTTCCGGCGGAGACGGCGCCTCCCAGACTTCTCGCTCCGGCCTGGAAGGCCAGAGCCTGGGGACACACCCGCTTCGGTGAGCCCCCCGAAACCCTCCCCAATCCTGGGCCCGCTCCTCCAGCCGGCGACGGCGATGGGACGGCGCTCCTGCACACACCCCGCCCCTCCCCCAGATCCGGAAGACTGAGGCCTCCTCACTCCCCACTAACAGGTCTGAGCTTGTGGGGGCGGCTTGGAGAGAGCTGGAAGGGTTCGAACTGAGGTCTGAAGGTGGAAGTCTGGGGACTCAGTTGGGTCTCTGGAGATCAGTATCAGGCGGGTTGAGCATCTCGGGGTTGAAGGTGTTTCCAGCTGTGGCTCAAAACTGAGGGCTGTGGAAAATCAGGGCTGCACAAGTGGCCCACACCCCTTGCCACCAGCTGTCAGAGGCATCAGCCGAGTTCCAGTGGGTGCTTTGGGGTTCACAGTCAGAAGAGGGAAGAAGCCCAGCCAATTGTGGGGGCCCCTGACTCCCCCTTTCCCAGGCCACTCTGCTGAGCAAGCCTTGCCATGGAGGGTGCCAGCGAGGACCCCACCGTATTCAGTGCCCATTCTCTACCCAGTGACCCTCGGCTCTTGGCCACCGTGACCAACACATACTTGGGCACACGTGTGTATCATGACACACTGCATGTGAGTGGCGTGTACAATGGGGCTTGCGGGGATACACACCGGGCCGTTCTGCCTAGTCCCCTCAACGTCCAGCTGGAGGCCCCTGCAGAAGCAGGAAATCAGCTGACCAAGACCTTTGCCCTGGACACTAACACAGGTAGCCACCACGGCCCCACTCCCCCACACCTGAGGTGAGCGGTCCAACTAACAGCTGTCCCATCCCAGCACCTCCTAACTCAGGATGCTTGGTTCACAGGGAAAAGGAGGGCTTCAGCCCCGGAGGACCTCCCGGCAGGCGCGTGGGGCCCTCTGCGCAGCCACAGCTTCCCAGATGGGGCAGCTGGAGCTCAGAGGGTGGATGCACCTTATCTAGGGGCTGGTAGCTTTGTAACTGTCCTCAGTGGCCCTAAAACTGTCCTCAGCAGGCGAGTTGCCCTGACTCCCTCTGCCCCTCCCCAGGCTCCTTTCTGCATACTCTAGAGGGCCCCAGCTTCCGGGCCTCCCAGCGCATCTACGCCCACCGCATGCTGCCTCATGTCCTGGCTTTCAGTGTGTCCATCACTCGCATGGCCAGGGAGAGCCAGCCCATTACGGTGCTGCTGCAGTCAACCTTCTCCCCAGAAAGCCCGGACCTTCACCTGCATCTGGGTCCTGACTTCCAGGGAGCCAGGTGAGGAGGCCGTCAGGGCTGGCCAGGTAGACCAAGGAGGGAGCTGGCCCCTTAGACACGGCCTCACTCTTGCAGGTACCTTTATGGCCACACACTCACCCCAGAGCAACCTGGGGGGCCGCAGCAGGAGGTCCACATGCTGTGGACACCAGTGCCCCCAGCCCTGACCCTTGGGGAAAGCGAGGACGACCGGACCTGGGAGTTCCTGACCGTGGTGGGCAGCAGCCAGGCTGAGGCCCAGGACTGCCTCACGGAGGCCCTGCAGCTGCAGGCGGGGACCACTCTGTACACTGCTCATGCCCGGGCCTGGGCTCAGCTCTGGGCTGGCTGTGGCCTGGACGTGGTGGGGCCCCTACCCCTGCGCCAGGCCCTGCGTGGTGCCCTCTATTACCTGCTCAGTGCCCTGCCGCAGCCGGGGGCCCCAGGGTACACCAGCCATGGCCTCAGCCCCGGGGGTCTGTCCAATGGGAGCAGAGACGAGTGCTACTGGGGCCACGTCTTCTGGGACCAGGTACGTCCTAGTCCATCTCCTGCCACACAGCATGCGCAGGTGGGGCGGCTCACAGGCACGGGGGCCCCGTGGCTACAGGCACAGACATGGCTGCTAACTCTGCCCTACCTGGGATGGAGGCTGTGACTGGGGAACCACAGAGGCCAGGGCAGAAGGGGAGCCTTCCTGGAGGAGGTGGGATGTTGAGGACTTTGGTGGAAAAGAGTGATTCAGGCAGAGGGGCCAGAAGGTACAAGCACTAGAGCTCAGAAGGTGCACAGCATCTGGCCAGGGCAACAAGGGCCCTCACCAGGGCACGAGGAGCAGCTGCAGGGGGACTGCGGGAGCTTGGGAGTCACACTGACAGAGGTGGAGTCTGGCTGCTGAGCAGAGCATGGGTAGAGGAGGATGAGGCCTCAGACAGGAGTGGGAGCCAGAGAGGCTGGGACTTGGTGGACACTGAGCACGGGAGGGGCCCAGAGTGCTCCTCCTCAGCAGCCAATGCTGTGGCCCACTCTGGTGAGGCTTAGAGAAGCTGAGTCACTCACTAGGTCAGGCAGCTAGTGAGCAACGGAGCAGGCTCCCATCCAGGCCGCCCGTGCCCAGATTCTGGCCTGAGCTCGAGGGCAGACCCAGAGGCCCGCTGGGGAGGGGAAGTGCTGTGCCGGGGACCAGACTTGAGGTGCATTTGGTGTGGAGACTGGGCCATGGGATAGGCAGGTGTGGACAGCCCAGGATGGACCCAGGGTGGGCAGCAGAGGAAGAAGCTGGAAGGAGACGGGGGGCTGTTGGAGAGGCAGCATGGGACGGTGCTGACTCTGGCCAGGGCAGAATGTGGGCGGACAGGGGAGAGAGAAGAGAGCGAGACCTCCTGAACAAGGGGCCCTTGGCTGTGCTCTCAGGATCTCTGGATGTTCCCAAATATCCTGATGTTCCACCCGGAGGCCGCCAGGGCCCTCCTGGAGTACCGCATCCGGACACTGGGTGGGGCCCTAGAGAATGCCCGGAGGCTGGGCTATCAGGTGAGGGGGACCTGGGCACCCACCCTACCGGACCCCCATAAGGGTCTGGTGTCCCTACATCCCTCCTAGGCCTGCACCCCTCACC